GAGTTTTTATTTCCAAAGACCTACAGTCTGCGTTATTTATTACCAGGGGAAGAAAATGTTGGCAAAAAGTATTTCCAGGGACCACAAGATTAGCTCATCCATGCGGATACAAACCACACAACTTTTTAGACTACTACAGCTTGGAAGATTAACGTTATACATAATGAAGAAACAGGAACATGGGTTAAGCAGAAAACATGAGAGGTCCTCAACAAATTACTACCTTGAGCATTGCCACTAACCCGGTTCTTCTTCCCCCAAACCTCCAGAGTACCCAGAGCATGACTGATTCTTGGGTCTGATCTCTCAAGGGGGAAGGACTGAAATGACAATTAGAAATGCAGTTACAACAGTCCCAATAACAGAAATACATCAACTTCTAGTGATGATGAGATACTCAAGAGATAGGACAAAAAAGCAAATTGAAAAAATTTTCTTTTTTTTTGAAGTTCTTCATGTCTCCTGATGGAATCCAAGGCCTAGATAGATGTCTACAATTACTGTTAATCAAGACCTGTAGCAATCTCTGTTGCATCTGGGTGTAACACTGTATTAAGCCATTGTGTGTACACTACACAGTGTGATAGCTAGTGACTAGTACAATATTCAGAAATGAGACACATGAAGCCCGTAATTATAAACAGGAAATGAAAAGGATGACAGATAGAGAGTACAAAAAAGCATACAAAGATGAGGAAAGAAAAGAAGGATATAAAAGGGAAAATGGGTATTATTTATAAAAATACAACAATAAAAGGTTTTTAAGTGAAAATTAAAAAAACACAACAGAAAATACTAAATACATTCTGTATTTATAGTGTACACCTTCACCAACTGTAGTATTTATTTAAATAAAACATTCTACATAATGGCAGCAGTCTGCATTATGTCATAAAACAAGATTCACCGGTGAGAAACGTTAGAGCTGTTTGTCTCTGAGAAGCAACTTGCTCTCCTTCCTCTAGTATTTAAAAAAGGGTATCAATTGAGAAAAATTAAACAGAAGTATTGTGTATTTGTTGTTCATCCCGCATTGCTATTAAGATCAAAATCTTCACTACAAGCAAATGAGAACCTGAAACAGTAGTGACTTACCATGATCCGCAGGTTTTATATGACACGAGTTACAAGTTGTTTAAACCAGCCCAGCCCACATTACATTTGGGTTATGTGCATGAGCACATATATACACATATATACATACACTGATCTAACTGACATATGCTACACAATTAAGCAGGAGTCAAATGTGTTTCCTATTAAACAAATGTGGGTGGTCTCCTTCTCAAGCAGTACTGTGTCAATGAATTTTCTAAAGCAGTATAGTGCTTAATTTCACTTCAGCACCCCTCTAAAGACATGTAGCTGTGTTTGACTCTCGTAGCAAAGTGTATTAACATCACCTACAACTAGTACAGTAGAAAAGTGGCCCCATCTTTACTGGGAGCAATATTACGACACAACAGAAACACCAATTATTCATTACCAATTTCTTTCTATTCTACATTATTAATTGCATCTTTAAAAGCATTGCGCCATTTGAAACAGAATATACATCATTTACAGTACACCTAAAAGTCAGACTTTAGCGTAAGGTATTTTCAGGTAATACTTTTTTACCCACGTTATTTAAACAATAGCAATGAATTCCAGATGAAATAAATGTTAATTCATTTAACTGATGTTGCCTTGTTTTCATTTAGATTATTTTAAAAAAGAATTTACAAATTTCAGAAATCCCCTCTCAATTTTTTCCAAGAGTATATGCAACATCATCCTTTGTGCTATCAACTTTCTTATAAATGTGAAATTCTTAATTTGGAAATCTGGTTTTTCAAACTCAGTAGTGGAGATTGATATAAAATCTCAAGAGACCTAAACCAGTATTTTCTGTTACACAAAGAAAATTACAACTGTGGACATTCTTATATCATATTTCACCAGAAAATGTCTACATTTTTAGTAGGGCTGAAGTAATGAGCTACTTAATGACATATAGTGTGCTTAAGTCATTTTGGTTTCTTGCCCAAAAAACTCTCCTCAATACCACTGCCACCCCACAAGCAAATTTATACCACAAGTGAATATTTATATTTCCAAAGATAAACTTTCATCTCTCTTGCGGTAAACCTAATTCAGTATATCAAGATCTTTTAATAAACATACATCTCTTCACTTTCTATACTTTCTGCATATTATACAAAATATTCTCTCTATTAAATGCAGATTTGGTTGGTATTTTCAAGAAAGGAAGGAATCTTTCCACTGACAAACTTTAAGAAACATGAAACAAAAGGAAAAATAAAATCCTTTATACTGGCTTCAGCTTTTCTAGCTATGATTGGCAAATGCAAGGCTGATGACATTAGATTTTTCATTTAAATTTAAAATAATGCATCAAAGTATTACTGCTCCCAGCAGAAGCAAACCACATTGGTAGGACAACCGCCTAACTTGGTTCCCATGCTAGCACCGCACCCAGGTTCTGGTAGATTTTATGGAACAACACTTCACTGGTAAACAGCTGAAAGCAAAGTAGCTATGGCATGGCAGAGCTCTTCCCAGTACCTCACTGACAAATATTAGGGATCAAATCATGGCACAGCTGACCTCAAGAGGAGTTCTGCTACTGGAATGAACATGGCCAGAATCTCATCCTCAAAAGTTATGAGGCATCCATATGCTCATTCACAGCATAGTGAATTCGTGAAAAGGTTACTGAAATCAAATTTCATTTCAACCTACTTATTGGCAGTGATGACATATTAAGTTATTACATGAAATCATCATTTCTGGACCAATATCATTACTATTAAATTTGCTGCATCACCAAGTTTACACGCATTCTCTTAATTTGTTGCCACAAATCATTGCCAATAACCATTAACATTTAGGTACCCAAGAAAGTAAATTCTGGTCAGATTCACACAGAGTGTATTTTTTTCCAGACACATACACAACCCCCAGTTTTTAAAAGACTAGCTCCCAAAAGAAATCAACTCAGTAGCCAACATGAAGAAATAAAGATATTTTTCAGATACCTGGATCCCAAACATTCTGAATTGTACTTATGACACCAAAGACACAGACACTGGTTTCTGTGCCCAGTCCATCATTCCGAGTTCTGCTGCTTCTGATCCACTGCCATGTTTCTGCCACTGCAGACCTTTTCCAACTGCAGGGATCACTTCTCTAATCCCATTTCTTCATGGTCAGAATGCTTCATATAAATGACATAATCCCTAGCTTGAGCATTCAGTCACATGTGCACATTCCTTCCCCACACTCACATTTTCAAAAGCTTGTTCTTCCCACTCAGTTATAAACTCTCTCGTTTGATTTGTGTGCACAGATTTAAGTGATGGGGAAAAGGGCTGATAGCAACTTGCTTTAATATCGGAACAAGATTCATTTCTTCATGTTTCTAAAAACTATTGTCAAGCAAAATCTAAAATTTAAAAACCACAGTGGAACAAGGTCATTTATATTGAGATGAACAGATAAACAGGTTTTGGAGTTCACAATTACTTTGAATCACAATCTCCCTTAAGCATACACATTTAACATGTTTGAGTAGATGCCTGAAGTCTTCTGTTTCAGGTAGGTAATGAGACAAAAATTGGCCTCATGCAGCAAATCGAAGGGGTTAGATTTGCCTATCTTTTTCTATTATTAGGAACAAAATCAGGTCAACAGCACTGCATTTCCTCAGTTCTGTTCAGTATAAAGAAAGCACAGCAGTCAACTATTCTTCTCGATTTTTTCCATGTAACTAACAAACACACTGCCCTAACAGAAGCATAAAAACATCAAATTCTTCAAACACCAGTCAAAGTAAGCTCTCTTTGGCTGTGTTCTTAAGCCTTAACTAGCATTTCAAATTGACAATTGCATGCAAAACACTCCAGTACAACAAATCATTCCCACTCTACTAATTCATTGGTGACCTACATAAGATATGACCATAAAGAATCTTTTAACAGTGAGATCTACTGGTATATTAAAAACTAGTTCAGTTAGTGAAATTGGTAATTTTTAGACTCTCGATTCCACACTAACATTTGAACACATTTCCCCATTAACATGCATAGCAAAGGTATCACATGAGAGCTGTAACACTTTTGCCAGACACCTTCACCTGCCTCTTTTCCCAGAAAATATTTACACCATAGCACATGGAACACTTGGCTGTCTCCAATGTATTCACACAGTAATCCTGTACCAGAAGTCACTGTATCAAGGCAAGATCCCTATATCCAGACAATTCGTCACTCAAAACTAGTGGCTACTGTATTCTATATGTACAAGATGCATATGTCCAGATTCTTCTTTTTACTAAAAACTAGTGGCTATATGCCTGCTATATTCCACGCTCAAAACACATGATTACTTTAAAATTGACAAAAAAATGCATCTTCAATATAAGAAGTATCTGCTCATTAATACCTAATAGGTTTAATAACCAAAAACCCCATGAACACTGGAGCAGACCGAAGAACATTAGCATCATATGCATTTCTGTTATGAATCCAGACACTTTATGATACTTAATCCCTGCTTTACAACAGATTGCAAATTTCTTCTCAGTGTAAGCAAGTCTTCTGAAATAACACACAATGGGAAGTAAAAACTTAAAGAGTCAAGACCATGCTGTTTTAGACACTTGAATAATATTTAAATTTGTGTAATTTGTTTCATTATTTGTTCCATTACCTGAGAAAGTATTATTTATCCCATTTTTACTACACTTGGCGTGCTCATAGCTGGTAGTTGCAAACAAATTCCAATTCAGATCACAAGATTGAGGAATCTCCGGTGAATACCCACAACAAAACAAATTAAACCAGCCCATTAGGATTCCTTCACAAACAAAGGCTAACAAAACATCTGTCTGACCACAATAATACATACCTCGTTCTTCCATAACTTAGTTTAATTGTAAGCACACAGTTTCTGCCTCATTAACAGGATAAATTCAAAGGTTTCAGTATCATACTCACAGCGAATTCCATAAATCATGAGAGGATCAAGTTGCTTCTTCCCATGCTTCCCCTGGCCTGAGAGGTTGGAAATGGCCTGAATTTCGCGATGGAAGAGATAATCAAGCAAAGTCAATGCCATCTTCTCAGCTGTACGGCAGTTCGTGCTGATGTGCAGCATGTCAGCAGGCGTGATGGGGCAACGCACCCGCATCTCAGGGTTATTTTCGTCTCCAAGCCATGTCCCATTGGGGTAATCCTCTAAAAACAGAGATTGTGCAAATTCTAATGTGGCATAGAATGAAACAGGAGAGCTCAAGTTACAGTCAGCATTTCTTAAGTTATCATCAGGAATTCCAGTTTTCTTCATAGTCTCCATGAGCCTCTTCAAAATTTAGCATGACTAATAGGATCACAAGATTGGCTACAAACACCCTCAAATTCCCACCAATGGTGACCAGAGTTGTTGCCAGTTGTTCTGGCCTACATGGTGCAATTAGTCAGATGTCTAATTTGCTCTCATATTCGTTTTAAAGAGTCTTACTAGAGGCCAGCAGCTGAGAGAACACACTCTACTCACAGCATTCTCATTCATCAAGTTAGTCATCCCCTAAAAATGAAGATTACTGCAACTCCATAATATTCTTAAAGTACAGCTAACCTCAGCAATCTAGAACCTTTGAACTGCATTTTCCCCCAAAAGAATCAGATCAAAATGAGTCTAAACCAGATTATAAATTTAAGAATTTAAATGATAATCAGTAATGAGCAGTACCTAATTTAATGAGTTTAAAATAGTGTTTCAAGCAATCATTCAAATGTAGCCAGAGACCCTGATCAAAGCTATAGTCTGTCTTCAAATTTACTGGCCAGTAATTTATATTATGTCCTGAACAACCAGTTTACTAAGGAAGAGGGCCCAGCATAAAGATAATAATCTAATCACTAATCACTAATCATCTGCCAAGTGCATCTTCTATTCAAGCACATGGTTACTAGCAGCAGAATTATCCCCAGCTTCTCTTGTGCATAAACACACACATTTATATATAAATAACTTTTTTTATTTCTGTCCCCCCAGCCTCTCAGTTTGGCAGGAAAAAGAACTATTCTTTTTAAGAAGAATACTAAGTCCTCAGTTGAAATCAATTCTTGCATATAATGCCAACAGTTGGTGCCTGACTAACCAGAAACTAGAACTGGAGTTCGTAAGGATGACCAGTCACTAAGGAAGTGATGGACGCAACACAGGTCCTGGGATGAGACTCTCATTCCAGATAAAAAACAGAATTCCCAGTACAAATCTTGACAATGCTACAGGAACTGGATAGAACAACATTCCAGCCCTATTTCAATGCTCACTGACGCAGACCATTTGGATTTGATTTCTATGTTTGCTCAACTTTGTGGAGTAAAACAAAGCTTCCTGACAGGAATCACTTGGTCCTCTCATACTAGAGCTTTATCATGTTTCATTGTTGCTTCACACACCTTCAGAATGGTAAAAATGCAAAAAAGTAATTTAACTACATGATTTATCTTGCAATAAATGCCTTTAAAGTAGAGGTTCGTGGTATATACAGAGTCACACATCCTTGTTTTCCATAACCCTTCTAGTCACAAAATGGGGTGACAGAGTTTAGACAGATGAGCATATCTTTTGCACATATAACATGACCTTCCGCAAGCAGCATCTTTATTTCCAAGTACTGGCACAGGTTAAGCAGCCTGCATTTCACCAGAGTACAAGCCAAAAGTACGTAATAAAACATAACATAAAAGCAACTGAAACACTAAAAAACACTTTTCAACATGACCTTTGGATTGAGTCATACCACATGTCAGATGTAAGTTTACTACAAAGATTAAAACCAGTATGAAGCAAATGTTAGATTATGCAATCCTGATATCATTATAAATATCAGATTATCAACTACAATAATTTGTAGAGAAATATATTTCTTGCTGACGAATGTGGCAGCTAGTCCCTCAAACTTTTCTGTTGAAATCAGAACTTAATGCTCTGTTCAGAATATATTTTTATACACTTGCAATTTTTAAATACGTATTTTATTTAAACCTTTTCATCCTGAGCTATATAACAGGGCACACTAGCTGTTTTCTGCTCAGAGTACCAGGTGCCATCTGAAAAATAAGGTGGTTTGGATTAATTATGACTTGTTTGGAATGCCACTGTGTCTGGCCTCACCACAAGTCTGGTTAACATTATCAGGGAAAACAACAGTCTGTTCCTGAAGATAAATCGACTGTTTTATAAAAATCTGGGAAGAGCTGTCAAAGCAAAAATATCTCGACATAAATGTGGAAGTTTGGCAAAGAAATTCTAGTAAGTCTGAGTAAATGATTCTATATCCTAGCAAAACCTTACTTCCTCCCAGTTCACAGCTACTATCAGATGTAAGAGCTGTTACTACTTACAGGCCACCTTTGACTTGCAGGCTTCTTTAACAAATGCTATCAACCTATGCAAACTATAAAGATTCTTTTCAATTTGCTAAATAATAGCCTTTTTTTTCCCCCTCCTCTTCACTGGCATGCAGTTCAGAACATACTGTTTCTGCTACATGAAACTGTTCTTTTATTGCTAACAGCCTGGAAAAAAAGACATTATCTTGTTATTCTGACCTATGAAGACAAGCCCCACATTAAATTATCTCTTGCATTTTCCTCCTGTTCTAAAAGCTTCAACAGAAAGGGAATCTGCCTTATAATCATTTTGCATGGAGTGGAACTTGCATGACTAAGGTTAACTGTGACTCTGTCTTGCTGCAACTACCCGAGGGCACAAAAGATAAACTATTCCTTACCACATATAAGAATAACTCCTATCAGCCTGCCAATATACCTAGCACTCTGCATAGAGCAAATAATATGAGAATGGCACACCAGAAACCCGGTGAAAAGAGGAAATACAGTGCTAGCTATGACTAAGACAGAACTGCTCTGAACAACTGGTGCAGGAGAAAGACTACGGAGAGAGGCAGAAAGACTGAGAATTTGATGGAAGTTCTCCCTGAATAATTAAATACATTAATACTATTGATTAAAGCTTCACCACTTGAAATTCCATGCACTCAAACAGCCTCTTATGCTCAGTGAAATGGTTCTTTACATGTATTACCAGGCATTATAAATTAGATAGAACCTAGATGAGACAGGTTATTCAGGACATACATTGTAATAGCCAGACATAGAGTCAGAACTCTACTAGGCACTGCACAACCACACACAGCTTCTTCTACTCTTAAACGCTACCAAAACACAACCACCATGTGAAGCACTGGGGAGGAAGAATGCAGTTGAAGAGCACACTTACAAACAATGAAGCATAATGTACATGCTCACCTGTAACTCAGTTAATCACACACCTTTCTTGTTTAGCCCTGCAGTATTTTCCTTTAATTTTCCTAATGGCCTTGCTGCATTTTGAATGCATTTTGAGTGCTGTGTGGAAAGGTACTTCTTTGCCTTTCTTTACACCTCATACTGTATCATCAGAGAAGTGGCTCTTGATAATTCCCACTTCCCTGTTACAAGTCCTGACATTTTTATCTAATTTCTTCTCTGTATGCAGAAGCTCACTTTAATGACAGATTAATGTTTTTTTTAAGGTCAGAAAATTTGTCTTTATCTCCATTCTCCCGAATCCAGAAGTAGTCCACCTTTCAATGCTGTTTTCAAATCTTTTTCACTGTATTAAGTCCATTTCTTTTATCTCACCACACAGCTGACCATTCCTCTGCTTCAGCAGGGACACATGAGAGGAGAGGCGGCTGGGCTGCTATGCAAACAAGCCTTTCTATGGAAGCTTGAAGGGTAGTATCAAGAAAAACTGTGTCAAGAGAACAAAAACTAGACAAGAGCTGCCACAGCTTTCAGACTCACTCTGGACATGTGTATGTTTTCCTGACCAGGGGGATGACAGACACATGACTGCATGACTGTTACTCACATTTTTCCATTGGGATACACTCCCTAGTCTGACATGTGAGCATTAACAGTAAGACAGAAGGAAAGCCAGGCTCTGCTCTCTCAATAGGTGCTATTAGTCACTCCTTTAAGAAGGGAAAACAAAAGGAAACACCGGCCCATATAAACACTTGAATTAACAATTTGCATTATTGAAAGTAGTTTATTTTACTAACAAGGCTGAGGGCAAATCTGGCATTTGCAGCAGAGAAAAACAACATAGCTAGAGAACAATGGCAGAAAGGTGACTTACCCTTAAAAACAAAAGAAAAAAAACCAAACCCAAACCCCCCAAATCCTAGCCTACAAAAATAAACACCCGTTTCTAGAAAAATTAAACAATATTTTGGCTGATGTGTAAAAGATTTACCATCATCTTTTTAAATAAACGCCTGTCAATTAGCCAGAGTCCTTTGCCCCTGCAGAGGTTCACAGGGGTAGTGACCGAGACTACAGACCACTGACTTCATTAACTGATCATCATCAAACATAAGGAACAGAGTGATAACCACGCTGTATGTTAACCTATAAATCTAGCAACACTATTTAAAGCTGGTGATAAAACTGGTTAAAGAACTTGTTTAAAGCTATGTTCAACAAAACCTTCTCCCACCATAAAAAGCAGTTAAGGAGTCCTGACCAAAGGAAGCCTACAACATCCACACACATATCCATGAACATCAGACACTGACACAGAACTGGAGTTTTTTGCCTGACTATTCTGAAGGGAGAAAAAGGTTTAATTTGCAATATATTAAATAAAAAGAGACAGCCTGAAGAGCCTCATGCTCCAGGTGTAATCTTCTATACGGCACAAAGGATTTGGCTAACAAAGACATAGTTCCAGTTAACTTCTAAGCCCCTGTGGTTAGGGGACCATCATACTATCCAAGATACTTTGAATACATATCCTGCACTCATGGTTTCTTCAGCTGTCTGATGGACAACATATAGGGCAAAAAGCTATACATGGGCACGCAGTACCAGAACAAACTTGTCTCAGCAAATACTATGGTGTGCATAGAAGTCTCAGCATAACATAAATGAGATTACTTGCTTGTTAAAAATAAGGCTTGAGCTTCTGTACGTGGTTAAATCCATGAGACAAAAAGACACTTACTTTATGACTCATGAAAGGCCAAGGAATTTATTCAACAGAAGTAGAAAATGAGGACTATATAATCATCTGTAATTTAAAATGATCCGCTAAAAAAAAAAATTCAGATAAAGTTGAGAAAATTAGAGTATGTGGAATTTTAAAACCTTTAGGA